TTAAACTAAATACTAAAAATACAGGTTTCAGTGTACTGTAGTTATAAAATATTTATGCATATAATATATGAATTTATATACAAATATTGACTATTTTAACTTCTTTTTAAAAACTTTTTTTTACATTATTTATTTTAATATTCTTTGTTCATATACGAGTTCTTAAAAATAATATGGTTTTATAATAATCAAACAATAAAAACATAAGTAGAGTGAACATTAATAGAATTGACGTAACTAGAACTTGCAGTAACTCTCCGAACAAACAGATCGCTTTCATCTTTTACCCTCTTGCTTGTATATTTATTTACATTAATTTTATAAATTGATGATGAAATTAGAATATGATGAAATATTGAAATAATAAACTTCTTAATTTTATTTTAATAAAAAAACTAATATAAATAATATAATTTATGCTTCAATGCCTTTTATTTTAGTATTTTCTGAATGACGACTTTTAATAATTTAATCATTATTGATAATAGACATTTAGTATCAAAAATCAACATTTATAAAATTTTAATTACGTTTTAGAAATGTACTCTAATATATTTGGAGAAAAAAGTAATTTATAAATTATATTAGAATTAAATAGTTTTTATTTAAAACGCTAATTTTCATAACTTTAGAATTTCTATTCTTTATATTTATAAATAACTGTTTAAGTATTATAAAACTTTTAAAAATTAACATACAGATTTAAAAATTAGCATAATATATTCGAAAAATAACCTGACTTATTTACCATTTAAAATCTTTTATATTTTACTTCATTTTTAACTTCGTTTTATTGTAGAATTTGTGTGGTGACATGCCATTTTACTCACTTCATTATTCGCAGTACTCGACTTTCCATTATACTACATTCTACAATACCCTCATTCTATTCTACTATAATATATAATGTTGTATAATACTCTCAATCTAAGTAACCGTCACTACCGTATACATTTCTATTTTGCATATGTTGATCAATATGAACCATATTACCTTCAGTGTTTGAAAGCATTAGCTACTGGACATATACATCGTAATAACACAATTTACATTTCTGTATGAAATAATTATAAACCGATCATTTTGTATATCTATGTATATTTTTTGAGTTTTTCTAACTTTCACGTCAATAGCCGTAAAAAATAAATAATAAGCAGGGCTTTTATAATTTGTATTATATATACAAATGAATAAGAGCAAACAAAACTACTTTTAATGTTCTATACCTTCTAATCACACACAATACATTTCTTTTATTTAATCATGAATTTGAATGAATTTAACGAATAATTATAGACTAAAACTTTGTTGTTAAGTTTTTATTAAAAAATTGTAATTATTAATATTTTATAAAAATATGAAATCTAAATACTATTTTAACCATTTGAATTAATTATGAAACATGCATTCTAATATATTCAAAGAAATCTAAACCATAATTTAATAATTTCAAAATGCAGGTTGTGAAATATAAAATTCTTGAGTAATTTTTATATTAAACTTATTATTATTATTAATATTTTGTAAATGAAACTATTAAGTTATTATTTGTAATCTTTTGTACGTTAAATTATTAATTTATGAAATGAAATGTCTGCGATTAAACATATATAGCCAAGAATTACTGTTATGAAAGATAAAATCATTATACAGACAGTTCAAATGAATTTTCGTCTATAGCTTGCGTTATAAAGATTGTTTTTATCACCTTGCAAGTTGGCTGCAGATTAAAGCCCGGAGCTTAATTAAATCCCTTTGTCAATTTGCATAAGACTCTAGAAATCCTTCGGGGCAGAGAAGTTCTTGCGGAGATTCAAGTGGCCTTCGCTTTTACTCGTGTAAATATCATAGTTTTCCAACAGTAAAGGCACATGGCAAAAATTGCAATTAATTACTATTGTTATTACGGACTCTATCGTAATACCTAATTTACAATATTTCTGTGTTGGTACACGTGTTATAAAGATCATGTAAATAAAACACTGACCATTTTAAAATCTTTTATGATCATTATTATACTATATAAAAATTACTTTGTATATGTATTACATAAATTTTAATATAACCATATTAGATACTGAAGAAATTCAAAATTCTTTTCTTGTTTTGTTAATGAATTTTTGAATTTTTAAGTTGACAATTTCATCTGTCAATATATATTATTTTTATTTCATAATTCTTTATGAAAATAATTAAATGAAAATTAAAATTTTTTAAATAATAATTTAGCTTCATAAATTTTAAAATAATTATATTACAAATAAATTCATATAATTAATAAAATTTAATAAAAATTATTAATTAATAATGGATAGGGTAATAGAAAATACAAAAATGATAGAATCTTTACTTCGAAATGCACTTTATTTGACTTCGGTCAACAACTACAATAACAATATTCAACAAATATGTTTTATTGATAATTATAAAATAATTCATGCATTTTTATCTTTTTAGTTATATATAAAAAAGCAAAAAAAAATGAAGCTTACAAGATAATGCAATCAGATATGCATACGTATATGTAACGACCAAAGTACTTCATGTATTTTATACTTACATAGTGCAGTAAATGGCAATGTAAAATTGTTTTTGTACAATTTTACATATTCATAAATTATAATGATTAGATTCCTTCTGTATTTTTCTTTACATGTTCATTTTATTATTTATTGCGTTCTAATTAGAAATTTATTTTTGTTATTTTTGACATTTTCTCAAATTTACAATCTTAATTAAGTTTTGTTTATTACTTTATATATTGCACAACCCCCTTGAGGTAACGTATAGAATTTTATAACTATGCAATAAGAAGAAATTATCTATACTATGAAAACATAGAGAGAAAGTAATAATTCAAGATATTTTATCAATTTTTATATGATTCTCTGATTGCTTTACAAATGATTTTTCAAGAGTTCTTTAGTTTCTTAATACTATACATCCTAAACTTCTACAGTGTTTTTAGGTAAATTAAAAAATTGATTTCAAAATATTTTTTCTTATTAACAGATGAATGATTCATTAGAGATTATAATATTCATTATTGTATTGATTAGAATTTTTATCGTTAGTTTATATAAAAAATTAGATTTACAATTTCAATTCATGATATATCATCAAATTCGATTTTATATCTTATGGGTTGTCTATTAACATTATTTTTCTAATTTTCTAGTATTTCACTAACAATACCATTTAAAACATTTTCGTGTATTTTAATATAAATTATCAGTTTAATATCTATAGTAGAATAATGTAAATATTTTTTAAAACATACTTTTCTGAATATATACGAACAGTTATCAATTTGTCATATTTACTCAAAAATGATGCATGTCTAAAAAGAAATATTGCCCATGTAAATCTTCGTTATCCAATAAGTATATACAATTATATATACATTTTCTTCTAATTGCATAAATCAATTTATGTATATATCACTCAACAATACCAACCCAGGATTAATGCAAATCCGCTTGTTAAGTTTCATTCATAAAATACTTGTCAACATACCAAACCAAGTTAAATTGATCTTTTCTATTAATGTAGTTATACTCAACTAAACATGTCGGTAGATTTCTAAAAATGTGAATTGCATTCTTAATGTCTTAAAGTAAATAGAAATTATTTTTTAACGAAATGCAATTTGCATTACAATTAAGCTTATTTCAGAATTATAATAATAGTACAGCGTTGTAATTACGAACTTTACAAAGAAGTAAATTTAATACACTTTAATTGATATTTTGTAATTTATAAATTGTATAAATTTATATCTGTATCGTAATGTATTTTATAATTTTTTTATGATTACTATTAGACAGCTAACTATTTTTTTCAGAAAAGTATATAAACTTTTTAAAACATGTATTTAAAATCAATTCTATTTTTGACCATTAACATATGGTTTCATAACAAAAACTAGTTTTTGATAACTTATGATGAATTGTTTAACTTATTCTTTGTTTTTTTCAGTATTAAATTACTTATTAAAATATGATTTAGAATATTTATAATTCAAAGATACAATTATCTAAACAAAGTTTGCAAATTTTTTAAATTATATATTATTATTTTTAATTCAAAATATACTTTCGACAATTTGGTTAGCATACGTCAACCAACAGAATATTATTTAATATAGAGGACATATTTTAAAAATACTATTAATTTTCATATATATGAATTTAAAAAAGTGTTTCGAAGTTAAACCGATTATTTTTTTAAAATAACTCCTTACAAGTTTAACTCAAATGATGGAATTTCTTCTTAAGCTTAATACTGGTACTAAGAATACGCTTAATAACGAAATTAATATGAAAATTTTAAATAACTAATTTGAATACAGAATTAAAAAAAATTATCTCATTTTCTATTACTGACTTATAATTTCCAAAATATAACTATACAGTAATAAGTTCGTATTATATAGAAAAATTTGGAACTTAAATAATATTTTGTATAAAAGAAAATGATAACTTTGAAGTATACGATTTATAAAGTGTATATTGGAAGAATTTTAAGAATTTTAAGAGATTATAGTAAAGTAAGCATAATATTTGTAAATAATAGAATAAATCAGTTTCAAAATAAAAAATAGCTATTGTAATTTGTGTTTAATATAGTACAATCTTAAATGCATATTTATTGGAGTTCTGATAAATGTTGTATGCGTTGAACTTATAAAATATACAAGCGCAATAATTATTTATACGAAGAAAGTTTTTAAAGAAATAATGTTTAAAACCAAATAATGGTGTAAATAAATTTAATAAATGCTAATGCAGTATTTATCAAATTTACTTTTACTTTTTCTTATTTCTTCTGAAAAATAATAATATCCGAAAATAACATTATTAAGTTAAATACTATAAATGAATTAAATGTTTCATATTTTTCAATTCAAAACGCATTCAATAAATAACGTTTTTAATTATATATCAATAACAATCAATATGTATATGTAAAATTATTTTACATTTGAGCTACAATCAAAATAATAAAAAGTTAAATGAATGAATTGTTGTATCGATATTATTAAGAATCGCTGGAAATTTCCAATGATATGACAATCCATAATATAACAAGATACTGCACATTTTCAGTCCTCATAAAATTGACAGAAGTTATCGTATAATTTATCTTCAATCATATATTCATTATTATTTTTTATTTCTATTTCTTACATATTTTCTTCATCATTATCTACCACCACTTACGCAGATGCCTAGATCTCATTGAAAATCGGATGTGTTTCAATATGGTCTCCAAACATTATTATCTGTTCTCACCTCCTCCTGAATACGAACGCTACAACTGACGTCGGCTAATGCTCGGTGTTGATTTTGTTCTTGAGACTCCGTATTTTGAAACTGGTTATTGTAAAGTTGAGAATACAGGATTGTTGGGAAGACGCTGGGTGGAGGAAAGTAATTACTCGTTGAACAATTCTGTCCGAAGGATTGTTCCTGATCATGAACTGGGCTTTCGGTAGCACTAGAATCTGCGGAGAGGGATCGTGGTGAAACGTAATCTTGGTACCTCTGTGTCGTGTTTGTACTTGACATTAGATTATGTAAATGGTCTAACGGATCAGTTTGACTGCCAGGTGTTGTTGTGTCTGGAACTGATCATTATAAAAATTTTTTGTTTTGGATATTAGGAATTACTATTTCCGTTATTTAGAAACGTTACATCATTTTTATGATTAAAAATATAATAAATGTTCTGTACATAAATATATTTTCAATATTCGAATAAAATCGAAATAATATATATGTAAAGAAAAATTATTGGCTTATATTATATAATATCAAAGCTCAAACATTTAAGAAACTTGACGAAGTTTTTTACTTGTTCGTAAATAACCAATGATATATACAAATTATATTATCATTACAACGTATTCATTTAATAAATATATTTTAAACAAATTTAAATGACATTGAGTATTTTAATCTTCTTTCTAACAAAATACATTATCAGTAGCAAAGTATTTCAAAATTTATAGATTAACTTTATTAAAAGTAATTTTCTATTTAACTACTTTTTTACAAGTTTAAAGGACGATAAGCCATATTTTTCATTAATTTCAAAACATATTTGTATATACAATAAAATATAATATGGATGATGAATAATTATTATTTATTGCAAATAAAAAATGTTCAATAGTAAATTAAAAATTTTATATTTGTTTTTAATTTTCAATTTTTAAACATAAGGACGTTTTCTAAACAAGTTTTTATAAAAATTTTTACATTAATATTTTGAGTTAACTCGATTAATATTTTATAATTAAAAATAATGTAAGCGATGAAAACTATAACTGATTATAAGCTGAAGGAAAGAAAAAAAAAGTGTATACTGACGCGACGAAACACTGGAGAATGCATCTTGTTGGTTGGTAGTGTTGTTGTTAGTGACATTAGCATTACCAACGTTTAGTGCACTGGCACCTGCTATCGAATCAGGTACTGTAGGAGCGTTAAATGTTGCCAGCACTGAATTTGTACTGGAAGCAGGCGGTGGTGGTGGTGGCGGTACGAATGGTGTCTGGGCTGCGCACGAAGACAGGGGCCCTGGTAGATAACCTGTGTAACCGGCAGTACTACCATAGCTCCAAGAATTGCTCGCTGCCAAACCAAATTGCGGCATATCTACAATAATAGATTTCACGAGTTGAAATGAAACATGCATGTAAAGTCAATGCATGTAAAAGCAACGAACTGTTTTTTAATTCATGAAATTTCTAATCACTTCAAAAAGAAATTATAAAGATATTAGAAATTCAAAAATCGAACTTAACCAATTAAAGGAAATCATTGGGAAATCAAAGATATCGAACTTAAAAAAAATGTTTTATAACCTCAATATTTGAAAAATTTTTATTCTATTTTATATACTCTTTTGTAATCCAGAATGTTACTTATATAGGCTTATATATTCATCGATATACCAAGATACGAAATATAATGATGAAAATATGACAGAATATAAAAAAATAATAATGACAAATCAAGAAAGGGTAATTTCTCGTTTATCTAACTCAAATAACTGAGGTGAAAGCACGATACAATTCTAAATACTATGTATTCCACTATTGTATCGTCTACTGCATTACGTTGTGGGCATCCATTCCTCTTCGAAATTAGAACTACTTTTTCCCAGCTTTCAACTTTAGCACTAACCATGCTTTGATATTTTGAACAAAGTTTTTATCACATCGTATATATTTTTGTATTAATGACATATACGGTTAAAAAATTACTATTATTATTGTTATAACCTTTTAAAATTTTTATTTGATTTACTCATTTTTTATAATAAAAAACCATTCAAATATAAATTATTTTGTTTTCTTCATATAAAATAATTAATATCTTTACTGATCCATTGGTTTATTTACATTTTTTATTTTAAAAAGATGTCCTAAGTAAATATGCTTATTTCTAAAAAATATTTAACAATGAAATATATAATTATTTATGCTTTGTAAAGTACATATACTGAAGAAAAATTAACCATATTTGTTAAAAATGATTTACAATTATATTATTCGTGAAAATATCAAATAACGATATTATAATATTGGGTATACACAAATATATATTAATATTGACTATGTTCATTAGCAAATGAATTACAAATTGAAATAATCGTACTAATCACTTTTCTATACTTCGTAGATAATTTAATATTTTAAATTTAAGTAATGCAATAGTTTTCAGTTACATGTAATTTTAATTTATATTTTTATATATATATAATATATAATATAGTATATAATTTTATATTTAAATAAATGGTTTATTGAAAATAAATGAAATTATTTATTATTTATAATATCATTTATAATATAATAATTTATAATATAAAATTGAATCGTAATAATATGAATTATAATAATAAAATCTGATTGAATTTAAAAATAAATGTATATTTCAAGTAAAATTAAGTCCTTTTTCTATAAAATTTAATCTAATTTAAAATTTGTCCGTCGGATTATTTTTTTTTTTTTTTAATACACTCGTATTTTTCTCAGTAAATGTTATTTAAAACGCTATATTGTATAGATCAAATATAGTTCGCTTCAACTACTATCAAAAAAGTAGAGGCATAAAATCTATTATTTAAATCTTCAACCAATTTTTGAGTGTTATGTATCATTGAAGTAAATAATGAACGAAAATTTAATTAATTTTGAAAAATACTTTATTATAATGTGTAAAAAAGGATTTGAAATTGAATTGCATGAAGAATATGAAGCGAGTGCCAAATATATTTATTTATGATACAAAGAAGTTGCTTATTAAGTGGTTTTGACGAACATTGCCAGTTTCCTATAAAATAATAACGCCAGAGCTTATTTTATAGCGTTAATGTCAGTTGCTGTATATCTTTTTTTCTTTCTTTTTTATTTTGTCTAGCTTAATGATACAACCCCTTTAATATATAATTTAATCTAGTTTTAAAAAGTCTCGCGGATTCGCTTTTGCAAAAGTTTAATTTCGTCTTCTCTCTCTTTGTCTCGTTTTCGTTCTCTTTCTCTCCCATTTGCAAACTCAGTTAGTTCCTTCTGTACTTATAAACTAACAGATTAACCTATTTATACACCAAGAGAAACCTATATTCACTAATGATGCATATATCAGTTTGTTTTTAGTAACTTTTTATTTTCCTTCAGTGGATTTTTTTTATCCTGAAAATAATTTTTAAACTATTTACATGTATATATGTTGTAAAATTGAAATCAGGCTTATCGGAGCAATTACATCGCAATACTGTTCATTATTGGCTATAATTGTGACTTTTTATTTGTTTTGATAAATTGCGTTTTATTAAAATATCTTGATAACTAGTATACCAGTTATACAATTTTGTTAAATTAATTATCGATAAGATGTTTTTCTATTTTTGTTATATATATTTTTTTGTTAAAGATCCAAGTTTAATTTTTTTAATTTGAGGTTTTAATAATATATAATTTATCAAATCTAATAAGTAAATAAATAAAGACACAATGTTTAATTAATATATTTAATTTTAAATTAGATAATTTTTTTAAAATAATTGTAGTATAAATATATTTAATTAATTAATGTTTATTTTAGCTATATATTTAAATTGCTGCACATATAATGTAATTTAACAGTATTATTAATTCTCTGATATTAAAATAGTTATTATTGTTATATGTCCACATTATTTGTACTATCGATGATTATTATATAAATGACTAAAATCTTAATAAAAAATATTTATAAAATAAGAAATATAGCATAAATTTCAATTCATCTACAGTCAAAAGCAACATTAGAATTTTTATTACATACTTAATATAATAATGATTACATACTAGGTACTGGCTACTCTTTAAAGTGTAAAATAATGAAATGAGACATCCACATGTCTCTAAGAATATTTATTATACGTTAAAACATTGAGTATATGTTGAATGTATAATTTTTGAGTTTACTATTCAAATAAAGCGTATTTAAAGCGAAATAAACAGTAATAAAAAAAAATTTTTTACTTACTCTGACAGTTACCAGGCATTGCATGTCGAAAGGAGGATAGCGGATCTCTTGATTGAAGTGGATTTGGCAACGGCTGTAGTGGATTTGGCAGAGGCTGCAAGGGATCCACTAACGGTGAGGTGAAGAACGGACCACCGCGTTGCGAAGCGAAGGCGAATGCGTGAAAAGGTTGCTGTTGCCCTAAAAAAGGCAGCACTGCGATCAACCGTGCGCCTGTCCGCTGGACTTCGAGTTCTTTACTTCTTTTTCCATTACACTTTTCTTTTTATCTTTCAGCATTTTTTATGTTACTGATACTTCAAATCTGCTCTATCGATAGACTCTCGGATAAAATTCTTTTCTTAAAATATTATTGCATGATTTTTTTAAATTCTTTTTTTAAAGTATTTATTTATAATTGATATTAAATTATATATTAAATTTTCTGAAACAATATCTTTAAATAAATTGCGTATCTACTAGAAATATTTAATTTAAATAATCAAAAATTTCAGTAGGGAAATATACTGTTTAGAACTACTTTTATAAGAAATACTTAATTGGAAAGTCAATAGGAATGACATGATGAAAATAAGTTAAAAAAGAAAACAAATAGAGCAGACGATAGTGATATTATTCCAAGTAGAAGTAGTATCAAATTTTATTTTTCATCTTATGCTAATAATATATCAATTAAAGATATTCGAACTGCAACAGTCATATGTTCTATATAATCATAGCTCAAAGCAACGAAAAACTGAATAATTGACGGACGTAAAGAAAAATTGTGAACTAGACAGAAAAGTAATATGGTGCTTGGTAAGTGAGAGAGACATAACCAAGACAAAATAGACAGAAATATTTATTTTATTTAATATATAGTAAAATCAATAAAAATTTATTGTTAAAAATTAATTGAATATAAATAAAATTAATATAGTTAAATTAGTTTGTATTTTAATTTTTATTGATTAATTAATTTCTATTATATGAATTATTTTAAATATTACAATAATATATTAATATTAATTTTTAAATATTGTTATTTTAATTTTAATGTAAGTTCAGGTATTTTTGTTGCTTACAAAAATAACTTTATACAGTTAAAATTTTCTAATTAGCATTAAATATTTATAAGATAATTTCATTTAGAATTTTTAACAGATGCAATGTAATTTAGCGATGTAAATATTATACATTTTATTAAAAAGTATTGAATAAAAATTAAATTAATATAATAAAAGAATTTGTAAAATGAAGAAAAATTTATTAATGAAAATTCAATATAAATTTATTATATTGTATATGACATATCTTTCACCCAAAAATATACATTATCAAGTGTTTTAATAATTCGATAATATTTAAATATAAAATAAATATTAAATTTTATTTAATTTTTATTTTATTTAAATTTAGAAAAGTAAAGGAAGTCAAAAAATGTTTGGAAAAGAATTTTTTATAAAAAATATTATAATATATTTATCATTTATAAAAATTGCAGATATTTAAAAGATGAGTGTTTATTTTTTTTTTTTGCAATAATTTTTAATTTGTCTTCGAATACATTATTATGAAGAAATATTATTCCTTGTTTTTGTCATTTTCTGGAATATTATATGGTCCCCAAAAAGCAAGTCCCTAGCCTCGATCTCTGGCCAGTGTGTGTCGACGCAGTGTTAACTAACTGGAGGGTAGCCTCACCACCTTTAATGCAGGGTGATGAATTGATCGACGGATGAACAGACTCTCACTTGGATAATTTAATCGTAGTCCCTAATACTAACTCGACAGTATTGAACCTCGAAATTCTCTTCGGTTTGCTGAATAGGGAATACTCTATCGAAATAGCCACCAGTACAATACCTTTGCACAACGTACCCGTTTCCAAGGAGAATAAGGATCCACTCTTCTCTACCTCTCTCCCTCTCGCTTTTGACTAACTAGACCTAGTTAAACGATCATTGGTTCAACTATCGGCTACGTGTCTAACTTCCTTGTAGGTGGCAGACGGTAATATCAAATTTTATTTTCATATGAAAATAGTGTAAAGGTGAAATGATTTGTTTTTACATATATTTTTTACTCATTATATTTAATTTTTAAGTATAAGTTACTTTTAGATAAATATTGCCAATAAATAATTCGGAAACCTTTTTACTTTTACTGAAAAAACTTACCGCATAAATTATGTTCGATTTTTTTTTTTATAAAATTAACATATCTGAATATTATTTATTAGATATTTTCTCACACCTAAATGAAATTTCTATATATATTTTATTAAATATTTCACAAATAAATTTTTTATTTAAAATCTGAAAATCAATTTTCAAATAATATCCTTGCGCATTTTTTCTTAATTAAGTTAATTAATAGGAATAATAATTAAAAAAAAAAATTTTAATTCCGATTGAAATATTTTAAGCAAATACAGTATACATTATAACGATAAAAAATTTAAGTGTGCTAATGCAACTTTCAATCAATATCTTTCCTTATTTAATTAACATTTCCTATTTTTCTTTGGTTTTTAAGCATTTATAATATAGATAATAAATAATATATTCCAAAATAAAAATATAACATTAATTAATTTAGCATTCAAATTTCTATAAACTAGAATAGAATATCGTTAACTCATCAACAATGTTGATCTAACGTTAGATGTAGTATTTATCAAAGTGTATTAAACAATAACGAATTATTACGTAATTATTTATATAAGTTTAGATAGAAAAATAAATAGTAAATAGAAACATACTTTAATCGTTGCGGTTTCACCACATATAACATGTGAAATAAAAAAATAGTAACATTTTTTTTAATGGACTTATTGACGAAATTATAATGAAAATAGCTTATAAATATTTTAATCTAATAGATCTTTGAAAAATTTTATCATAAAATATTTACATACTAGCCTTCAAATTTTTGCAGGTTGTAATCATTTTTATATGAGAAACTTTTATTGATGGATTCATTAAGCACCATTTGATGGCTAAAAATTTTCAGTACTTTTTCGTTTAACTAATAAAATTATCAGGTAGAATTATGAGCTCTGGGTCCTATGATTCTGTAACCACATCTCTCTTTTTCCCTATTATTTTATTGAACCTTTCATTTCTCTTTCTGTTTAAGCACTCTATTGTATTTAAGTATATATATATAGTAGACAGTTACATAGATATAAAATAATTTAAATAAAAAATTCATAATTATGAAAATATTTAAAATATTTGCATCAATTAAATTTGGATATTTAGCCAAAAGATTGTAAGCATTTAAAATTTATGAAAGAACGTTTGGTATTGGTATTTTCATTTTAGAGTTTATCGTTTCACATATATTTGCTTTAAATTTTTATAAAATTTTATGTAATTGATTATTAAGTGAATAGTAATTTTTATTTATGTTACAGATATACATCCTTAAATAAGTAATAAATAATATTTGTTGCAAATAATTATTGGTATTATATCCATAAATAATTTGTTTTTATAACAGATAAAATAAAGTAATTTTCTATAAATAAACCGCTTGATTAATTTTCGTGTAATTTTTCAATTTCTGCGTAGAGACATAAATTGAATTTAATCAGATAATTTCAAAATTTTTAATTTTCTTATTGTGTTTTTTATTTTGTCTTAGGAAGACAAAAACGAATTATAAAGATTAATATAATAACTGTATTCTTTTAATTCATTTAACTCTTTAAATTCCAATTTAAAACATTGAATATGTACAGTATTAAAATAATTTTAATACTTTGATAAGGTTGATAAGAAAAACAATACTAATATCGATTTAAAAATATTTCATTTCAAACTTCTCATTTTTCGAAAATATTATTAAATTTTCAACAAATTATGTACTATACTATACTAAACTATATTATACGAACAAAATATTACTATAATAAATTCAAATCCAAATATTATTTTTGAATTATGAACAGTTTTCTTAAGATTTCATATTCTACATTGCATTTTGCTTATTTTAGATATCATCACATTATCTAATACATCTTATAACTACTTCATTTCAAAACATTTTTAAAAATTTAGCTGTTTCGTTTATCTGATCTATAGTATAATTATTTCCAGCTTCATTAGTCTAAAACATTCTTTATTAAAGTGGCATAATTAGATATATTTTATAAAAGGTATTTTCTAAACGAGTATACATAACTATGTAAGAAATATGTATCAAAAATATTTGATAAAAAATTAATAAATAATCGTCAAATATTTAAAACATTTTAGTTTGTAAATTTCAAACATTTAGGTAATGTATGAATAAGTATTTTAAGTTATAATTATAAGTAATATTTTTATTTTTGTATTCCTTTTTAGCACTTCTCTTTATATTTTTTATTCTATCTTTGAATTTTGATAGCTGTAGAAATCATCAGATTATTTTGAACCATTTATCTATTGATTTTCATTATTTATGAAAGATAAATTACATTAAATTAATGAAAATACTTTACTGAGCTTGCAATATTATATCAGAAAAGTGTTAATTTATTAATTATACAATAATAAAATCTCGGTTTAACTGTTTAAATTGAATTAAAGAAAAATAGTGAAATTGCTGATGACTTGCAGATTATACCCATTATTGGAATATAATTAACAATTTAATTTATTTTATATTTTTGTTAATTCATTATTGTTGTAACTATTTGTAAGTAATAAAGATATAAAAAGATCGGATTCTGAAGTTTTTTTAATTTCGTAATTATAGATATTTAAGAAAACATTGTGAATTTTATCAATCAATATTTCCATATTTACTTTAAAATAAATTTAAATTTAACGATTAGGAGTGAGAATTAGAAATTGAAAATAAAAAATTTGTGAATTTGTAAATCGAACAAAGTAAATTAATTGAATAAACTTGTAGTAACCCGTAATTTTTTTGTAACTAATATATTTTATATCCTTTTTTAATCTAAATTAATTGTACGTATTATTTACCTGTAATATTTTCTTTTTAAATCAATTTTATTTATATTATTATTATTTTAATAAAATAAATTGCAAATTTATAAAATGATTTATAAAATGTGATCATGATAATGATCCAATATGATAATATATCATAAAATACGAATTTGAAAAACAAATCATAAAGTAACAGGAGAAATTTATGATATGGAATGAATAATACATGTGCATCACTCATATTCCTTAGTATTTTTAATTGATTAACAAAAAAAGATAGTGACTAAAGAGAAGAAGAATAGATATTTAATTAAAAATAGTGCTTACAGTGATACTCACTGGTCTTGGATCGGGGCTCTCTAGGCCCATCTACTGTCACTTTAATGGCCTTAGCATAAGTTGCAACCTGGGGTGGTGTTGTAGATACTGTTATTGTAAGCGTGAAACTCTTACCTATACAAATAATGAAAGTTAAATTAAATATTGTTATACTTTCTTAATAATATTTAATCATTATTTTAATAAATTTATGTATAATAAAATTTATATAAAATTCATTCTGAGAAATCAAATAATATATTTTTCGTTATATTCGTTATTCTAGATTGACTAGGGATTACTTTATAGTTAAAATAACTATATTTAATTTAATATAAAATTTGTTTATGTCAAAAAATTAACTAATTTTAAATAAGATAATTATAGAAGTATTGTAAATTACTAATTTTTAAAAAATTTATATAAAAATAATCTATTAGTTTTTACATATATATTTATGCATTTAAAAAGTAGTATTATAAATAAAATAAAAAATAAAGAAGGAAAATAAACTTTTTTTTAAAACTATTTAGAAAAAAAACATTTTCTGTTGTAAACAAAAAATGGATAACATAAAAAGTTGTCTATTTTATTCTTCTATATATATATCGAAGATATTTAACTAAATAATAATTAAATATTTTAGAAGAAAATATCACTAGCTTTATGTGAAGATTGTTATTTTATCAATTTAAAATAACAAATATAGAAATAATTTCGGTTGATTTAAATCCGTTATAAAAAATATTTAATGTAAATGGAATTCCATTTAGCTAAGATTTAATGTTTATTTAAAATTGATTTTCTTTAAAAATATTTTTTATTATATTAATAAGTACACATAAAAAGTATTTAAGATTGTTGTTGCTGCAATCATAAGATAAATTGTTATAATAAATTTGAATAAATACATTTTTCTAAAATATATTAAACACAGATTTAATACAGTAATCAATAAATAATAACAATAAATATATAGTTAATGTTTAAAAATATATCATATATAATTTAAAACACGATCTTAAGAAAAAAAAACAATGACGTTCATTGTGGTCGTAAAATGACGTACAATAAATAAGCGAATTTTAGAGAAAATCAATACTATAAAGCCATCGTTGATATCGAATTTTCGCTAAACAATATACAATATTCTCAGCTAGTATAGAGATAGAAATTTTCTGTTAATGAAAGTACTGTCCATGTTCGTTCCAACATGATTCTGTTCACGCAATTAGTGTTTCACGAACAATCTTTTTGTCCTCATACTCTCATATAGCCTGTATCTGCATTACCTCGAGTAACTGATTTTACGAAATTTCCGTGTTCGTAATTATATTTACCAACTTTTGATGTGGATAAAGCAATTTTCGCTGACCCACTCATAAGAGAATCGTCAAATTTTCTATATATTCTATTCTATATATTCTATATAGATTCTATATAAACTGGTGAATTTTTCCCCATGAATATTGGATACATATATTCATTATAGCTTCTTTTAAAGAAATTTCAATGAATATATTTTCCATTTATTATTAATAAAAGTTTTGTAATAATTTTTCTAAAGAATTTATATTTTTAATTATAAAATAAAAATAATAAGCTTAAACTTATTTTTTCTATTAAATATATAAAATATTTTTCGTTTCTATTTTATAGAAAAGTAGAAATCTAATACCTATGTCAAATGCAAATTTATTTCAAGAGTCATCAGATTAAATAATACGAAGGATTATTTATTTTTTATACATATTATTTTCATTATTATAATTACTTCAATTATTTATTTTAACTACTTATTGTGTTATAATATTATTAAAGTTTTATTTAGTTTTAAATAGTTACTTCTTCAATTTATTATAGTTGAATAGTACATAGTAAATCACTTAAAGGGAAAAATTGTTAGTAATTAAAATGGTTTAATCTTTTAATAGATGAAGGATATAATGGGTAAAGTGATGGCATTGAAAAGAGAGTAAAAATATTAAGAACTAATACTGTAAATTAATGATAAACGTATACAATTGTTTTCATTAATAGCTGCTACTAAGGTGTATCTATAAAAAATCATTTAAAAAATAATAACTCATTGTATCAAAGTTTTATTGAGATTAATGCATCCCAAAATTTTTTATACTTTTTCAATATTATTCATTTTATTTCATTTTATGTTTTATTTAAACTTTAAAGTACTCATCATTCATTCATTTATATGTTAATAATTAGATAATAATTTTATTCGTTAATAATTAATTTTGCATTAACTAAATCATAAATTTATAAACAGTATATATTGTATATATATATATACAATATATATATTGTAGTAAAATAAGTGTCTAAAAAACTTCAAGCTTTGAAACATATTTTAAATAAATGTGTCAGAAGTATTGAAAAAGTAAATACATTAATTTATAAGTAATAAATAATAATATTTAATAGTAAAAGAATATTAATTATTAATATTATTAATAATATTTTTAATTAAATTTTTTTTTTAATAATTATTATTATTAATAATATTAATTTAATATTTACTTATTAAAACACAAATCTTGCATTAATTAAACAAATATTTTTGTTATAATACTTAAGATTCGTATAAATTACATTGAAAAAATTAAAGCGTTTAAAACAAAAAATTAAAAAGAAATTACTTTATTTAACCAAAAATCAAAATGAAGTCTAGTCAATTATAAAATAAATTCGATATTGTAGTTATGCGATATAAATATCTTTAATATTTATATATAAATATATAAATACGATATAAATTAATTTTTGTTTGGAAGTTTGAAATTAACTTCATTCTATATTGAATTAAAAATTTGAAAATTTATTAAAAATTACTTTAAATATATAATCCTAATTCTAAAGAAAAATTTACAACATAATTTTCATTATTCTAAAAAATACCTTATAAAATTATTATTTTTATAAACGTAAGTTCATATCAATCTTATACATTTACTATCATTTATTTACAATGTATATGCGTTTGAAAATTAAATTCATTATAAGAAAGTATTTAATCTACTGAGGGATGTAAATAATAGAATATAATATTGGACCGTAAAATAAACATAATTTTATTATAAAATTTACATTTTTAAGAAAATTTAATCTCTTTTATAATAATAAATGCAATCAAATAAATCCATTAAAATAAATAGTATAAAAGTTTAATTTGTGTTGGCATATATGTATTAACTTTTCGCTTATCTATATTTGAAATTTATTCAATAACATTATTTTTAAACTATTTTTTGTATTTTAAGTAAATTTCAATTAAATTACTGAATTTTTTTACTAAATATTTTCAATTTTAATTTGTAGAAAGAATTTAATCCGGATGAATGTAAAATCTTGATTTATATACTTTTAAACTATAAATTTTTAAAAATACCATATAATAGATTAAGTAAGTTTGCCAATATATTTTTGTATTATTTAAGTATTTATAAATGTAAAAGCATTGTTGGGTTGACCTTCTGAACGAGATGAACCTGTTAAAATATTTTCCTATTAAGTCTATTTCTTTGCTGATGTAATCTATTTTTATTTTTATTTTGATATTATACTGAAACGATAAAAAGATTTATTATCGGAGTATATAATGTATATAATTATTAAAAAATACGAGTATTTATCCAGTCAATTAAATTGTAATAAAACGTGTACACCTATATGGATTAGATTTTATAATGACAGATTGCACTGCATAAGGAGTTACGTATATTATTAAAATAGGACGAATAAATATTTTGATAATAAACCTTTATTGGGTTGTTACTGATACATCATAAATGAGAGTTATTAGTAATCTGAACTATTTTTATAATATTACGCTACTTATTATATTTATGATCTCTTATATTAATGAAAACTGATATTTTTCATTTTTATTATTTTTAAATCAATATAATATTGCTTCCTCATACAATATTAACCAATTATAATGTACATTGTACTTAATTATATTTCATTTTACTTTTACATGTGCCTACGTATTTTGTATATTTTTATCATTCACTTAAATGTAACAAAAAAATAGGGAGAAATATTTATAAAATATTCGAATGAAATTATTTCTACATTGAAAATTCTCTTTCTTAAAATAAATAAATAAATTACTAATATTTTGATTCGAATGTATTTGTTTAGTTATTTAACATAAATATTTATTTCATTAAAATTTAATTAATATATTTTCACTTAAAACAATTTTTAATTAAAATCTTATATAATAAAATATATATAAATAGTAAACAATTGTTAACATGTATTAATGAATTTTTTAATCACTACAGATAATATATAAGCAATATAAATAATATAAGTTTATATATATAATGTCTACTACTTTATCTCATCTATATTATATTATCTCAATTACTTTATAAGTTTTGTCTTACAAATATTTGCTCTTAAATAGTATAAAATTGATTAATATAATTATATTAATGGTTATTAATATATTATCATTTTTTAACTCATTAAAAAAATTATAATTACTGATAAAATATAACTATTTAAAATAAAAATTTTGATGTATATTTTCGAAAGTAATTTTATTGTAATACTAAAAAATATATGATTTTTGTATATAGAAATTATTGAAATTTATAAAAATTGATTTTTTTAATTATGAAATAATAACTTATACAAATAAGTCTTAAACCATTTTACATTATAAAATTAATTACTTTTAATAAATCTCCAATTTTATAAATTTTCATTTATTTCAAAATTTAAAATTATTTATACTCATCTATATTATATTATAATATTGTATACTACTATAGTATAATAGAAATGAACATATATCCAGTAACTTCGTACATCAGAATCCTGACCTTTCTAACTAATGTACTGATGTTTATAAATTATATTCTTCAAATGGAAATTACTTCTAGAGAAATACGTTTACTTATAATCTATATAAAATAAAGAACAAGTGCAATAAATAAACTATAAATACAATAAATAAACATAAATAAATTTAAATAAATCAATGAAATTGGTTTTTTATTTTATTTACCTAAATACAATGTTTCGCATTTGCTATCTTCTCTATTTTACCTTGCATGAGCAATATCATAGCAAAAACCATTTGTTAAATAATTTTTTATTAAAAAAAATTTTTTTCTTAATATCTGTATAATATAATGTAAAACCTAATGTAACAACTACATCGACTAGAAATATACACTAATAAAAATATACGCTTCCCTCGCTTTCCAGAATCCATTATTGATTATATTTTCTCGTTCTTACTCATGAATTTTAGTAAACATTAATGAGGTGTTAATAAAAAAAAATACGAACATATTAGAGAGTGAGATAGTCAGTAAAACAGTGGAAAAAAGCAAGAAAAGGAATAATTGATTATGCTATTATTATTCACGCTAATGATACTTGCGAAGTTGACATGCACACGTATGTATCACATTCATAGATCTTAAATTAAATTATTCTTGGATCACGCTATCTGACTTAAATTGATTTAAAAAAATTTCTAGGAACATAAAAGATTAATATTCCACCTTTCGTGACACAAAACAAATTCCAGTTTTGACATGTTTTTTAGTATATTATATAGTGACGATGCACTACCCTTTAAAATTATATGATATGTCGCAAACGAATGGCCATCATTAGAACTTCTACACTCTATATTTAATTTTCTCATTTAATGAGATTTTATCAATTTGATATAACTTTTTCAAAATAAATATATCTTTGGATAGTTGACCGAGAACATTTTACTCACTTAAGATTACACAAATTAAATATGATTAAATATGATCGATATATTATTTATGTATACAGTAACTATTAATAATATAGTACTTATCATTCGTGAATATTGAAAGTATTTATTTTCAAATATATATAGAATATATATAGATATAAATATATGTAGAACGTCCTTTCCTACGGATATATTGTATTTAAAAGTACATAATTTATTCATTTATATAGACTTAATTTTCAATTACTTTTACCAATGCTTTGAATGAATATAAAGTCTAATAAAGCATCAATATTCAACCATCACAAAATTAAGCATAGCATAGACTTGATTATTTATAATTAAATTATTAATGATTTGAAAGGGATAAGAATAGGTAACTAGGATTGAAGGAATGTCAGTATAAAATTTAGGAATTAAAGTACACTATTTTGGGGGATCATTGCTTCTGTAAATAAATATATCTAATTGAATTACTATTTAAATATTCTTGGTTAATTGAATATTTAAAGTAAGTGTTCTATTCAAAATTAAAATAATGATACCATTTGAAAATTGTAAAATATATCTTAGTATCATCTAATAAATTTTATTGTATGTCATAATTAAAAAAAATAGAATTAGTTTTACATCTCTTTAAAGTTCCAAAGTATCATAAGTGAAATAAATTAAAAAGTAATAAATGTATTCATTTACTAATTTATAGCATTTATAAAAATAACAATCAAGTAAGCAAAAAGTTATTAATACATCGAACATAATTAATATTCCGACAATAATTTTGAAGATAAAATTTGATAAATTTTTATATTTATTAAAATTTACTCCATAAACTAATCATCAAAATTATTAACAAATTATTTAACTTATAATCAAAACATTTCAGATAGTATTACCTGGATTAGTTATATGAATATTATCTTGGCTTTCAAGGCTAAGTCTTAGTAATATAGATATAAATTATAATTAGTGAATAATTTATTATATACAAAGTAATTATTTTAGAATTACAATCTTCACTTTTCTTAATTGCTTTAAAGGAAAAATAATGCCGATCTTGAAAGAAAGTTTTTTATATAACATAGTTTTACCATAAATTAGTGAGAAATTTTTGCGTTAATAATATTCATTAAACTAATAAATATCTGAATTTATATTACTATTTTAAAATAAAGTCAAGGCAATAAACCAAATCTTGATAATGCTTTTCTTACTTATACCTCAAGTTCTACTGATTCTTCGGCCATATTTTCTTCGCACTGATGATAAAGCACCATGAACTATAAATAGAATTACTGTACAATTCAATAAAAAAAATTAATCGAGTATTTGTTTCGAGTTATATGAAATATAACTTAAAAATTTATTATTTCTATAATTATTAATTTCACCCTTAAGTTTTAATTATTAACAAAAAATTGGCTATATTATAAGGTTATTATAATGTAAATATATATTAATTTATAGGATATGTTGTAACTATTTTATGAAGATTAATATGTTAATGAAAATCTACAAATTTTTTAAAAAACATGAAATTATAAAGTGTTTCATTTTTACAATAAATGTCAATTATTACAATTGATTATAATTAACTTTTTAATTAAATAACATAAATAAAGTAAAAAATAAAAACTAAAATAAATATATTATTTAAATATATACGCTTTATATGTATACAGCTAGCTAGAATAAATTTTATTATAAACTATCAAAATAGATCTACGTAAATGAAAAGTAAATTACAATAAGTATGATTATAAATTATTACTTACTATTTCCGAAACTCTTCTAAAAACAATAAAAATTTAAATTAATTTAATACAAAATATTAATATGTGAAAATTAAATGATTGTAATTAATTAGATACTATAAATACATTGTTAATTGTTTTATAAATATAATTCAAAATAATTATAAATACATTTTTAGAACTTGTTAAAAACTGATTTTTGAAGTTCAAATAAAAAAATTATTTTCTTTTACAATAGTTTAGCTAAAATTATTTTACATATCATTTCTTTTTATATTTTATATAATAATATATCTTGTAAGCGTAATAAGTATTGAAAATTAAAACTTAAAAATTATAATTGTTACTAATGAAATATATACACCTTAACTTTAAATGAATAATTTGTTGTAAATTTATTTGAATACAATTTTCTACTTACATTATAAAAATATTTCTGTTAAAAAGAAAAAATGAAGAGTAAAGTGATTTGTATGACAATACAGTTTAAGCAAGGAGAAATCTGAAGAAAGACGGAGTTCCAAAATGACGTACATGGACAAATAAAAGCCATTAGCCAAACTCTCACAAGATTTTCCGCGAAAACATCTCTTCTGAGAAACTCAGAAAGATGGAGGAGAACAGAAAGCAAGAATTGGAATTCTTAGTTTTCTCGCAAACAAACCTCGTCACTTTTAACAGTTTTCTTCCTTCAAAAGTAGCATGATAACTTTTTTCTGAGAATTAATGTAAAAATAAGGATCTTTCCTCAAAATCTTATAAAGGCATAATTACTTCACAATGGGTATAGCCTTTTCAAAAAAATTAAATTTTTTTCATATTCAGACTGCAAGAAGAGTTATATAAGAATAAATCAAAAATAATGAAAATGAAAAGATAATATAACAATTAGACGTCTTTGCAATTGATATTAATCTAGTAATTACAGGATGGTTTTACTATTCATTGATCAATCTATAAATTCTAATTATACCTTTAAAAAAATTAATTCGATAATGCTTATCTTAATGTACAAAAAAAGACATATTTGATTAAAAATTATACTCAAGATACAACTATATAAATATCTATATTTGAATATATATATTTAATATCTTATATGCTTCTTAAAATTGGAATGTACGTACTTTACTTTTCGATTACTTTTAGATTCGGTTTATTTTTCTTTTTTTTACAACATTTTTAACTTATGAAAAAGTTAAATTAGATATAGATATAGAATAATTTCAATTTTAGTTTCAATATAAATATAATAAAATTAAATTTAAAAAAAAAATAATAAAGGGTTTAAATGTTATTAAAAACTGAAATAATAAAACCTCTTTTCAATTCTTTAATTTTAAATAGCATTTATAAAATTTTTATTTGTTTAATTATAATATTTATATTATTGATCTATTAAATTATAATACTTATATTATTATTTACATTTTTAATTATAATATTTATTTTATTTATAAAAAAAATATATAAAATCATATTTATATTTAATTTTTGAGGTTCTAACAAAAAAATAATATACTTTACCTCTGCCACTTCTACCGACGAACCTGAGATCGTTAAATTTGGCAACTTGATTTTTCATAACAGCTGTGGAATTTCGCAATTCTGCACAGCAGTTCTCATCATTGCCAGCTCGAACAGTAACGACAGTATTATCAACAACTTCACCTAGTGCCACAACTTTAAATGCAACTGGTAGAGTTTTATTAGATCTCCAATGTGCTGGTAATACAGTACATACAAGATGTGGTGAGCCTGCAAAAAATCCACTTGTTAATTTTGTTTTAACTCTCAAACTTTTATTTCATATGGAGGTCACGTAACTGAAGTATGAACAATTTTATTTTCATGAAGTAAATGAATTTCCACAATTAATTTCTAAGAAAAAAATTATGTATTCAATAATTAGATATACACATCTTAAATAATTAGTAATATATTGATTTCTAAAAGATACAAATATTTATTAATATTAAACATAATAAGATGAAAAGTGTACATTCTAACAGTATTATAATTCTGAAAAATTAGAACTTTCTTTTACAAATACAGTAGAAAAAAATATAAAATCAATATATTCATGAAAACAAAGTAAAATATAAACTAAATTACTTCCATTTTTGGAATAGTAATATATAAATTATAATTAATTAAAATAAAAAGATATCCCAGCCAAAAAAAATATATAGATAAATATCTTGTTTAAAACTAAACCAAAAATAGTTATTAGTAATTAATAATAATTAAAATGAATTATAGTTCACAAAAAAAATTATATTTCTTTATACATAAGCAATATAATTGTAAAGTATTTTTTAATTGTAGGCAGTAAAAAAAATATTATAGAAGTTTATAAATAGTGAGTCACATGGTATATTTTATATTGTTTTTAATAAATTCCTCGATTCAATAGATTGAACATTTCAAACAACTTCTTCTTATTAAAATAATAAGTAGGATATTTATATATAGAATTATTTCATTAGATTTTATTTCAAGTAGAATCTAATTCAAGTAAAAATATAATTAGATATTTTCAATCTATTTCAGTTTCCAAAGAATTATTTATTCTTTTAATAAAATATTATCTAAAAAAACTTACATTTAAAATAGATTTAGATTATCAAATAATATTTAGCAGTAAAATAATTTATTAAACATAAATATAAAAATTCTAAATTTGAAAATCTTGAAAATAAAAAGTCAGAATCACATTTTATATTATTCAATTAAACACGCATAGGTATTAAGTACTGTAAAATCAAAACTCACCGGTTCTAACCAACTCTCCAGGATGCTCACTCATGTAGTCACCTAGCGTCCTTTCCGCGAAAATATCGCTTGTCATCTTTGTATAGGCATCGGCGAGAGGTGATACACCACTTTCAGGCGAGGCGGCATTTCCTAGTGCCGGGGCTCCAGTCAACTGCATCTTTAACTGTGTCGTTTTTATTTCGGCTGTTGCTGTCGAAACGTTATTAATGGTGGTATTCAAACTGCTAACGGCGGATGCCGTCACTTGAACTTGTGTCGCGCGTTCATCAATGTGAGCGGCAATCACAGAAGAATGTAAATTTACTGATTTTGTCGTTGTAGAATTGGATGTGGTTACGACTGGCACGTTTACAACGACATCGGCGTCGTTGCACCGGCTGAATATATCCATATGCAGCTACACTTTGTCAGAAGCTCATTCTAGAGCTACCGGTGCACCGAACTCATCAGCATATTGATGTTTAAATTTTTTATCACACTAGCCTAAAACTTTAATATAGCTTTTGATTAACTATTATGTAATATTATTAACGTACTTAGAATAATTTTAAACCAACTATTTTATTTAATAACATTCACGTTTGAATTTTATTTTAAGAACTGTTTTAGAAACTGTTTCTTTAAAATTAGCTAATGAATTTGTCATTAATTACTTGATTTTTAATACAATATCATGATTTTCTGCTATATATCTAATAATGTACACAAATAATTTTTAAATTCTATATAATGAACTTGATTTTAAATGTTTTATATTTGCACTATTTTAAAAATTATAGGAATTTATTATTTAATTTATTTTAATATCACATAACGGGTTCGATGATTGGTAAATGATACTCAAACTTTTTACAAATTGTATCCCACATCTTAAAACCGTTTTCAAATTTTTTTCAATATAAATTGAAATTCTTTCACTATAATCTGAAATTGTAAAAAAAGTTATATTATAATAGATATGTTTAGTAAATTTATTTATAAAATAAATCAAATTAATTATAAAAAAATTGATAGAAATGTATAATAAAAAATAAAAATTTAATGTTATAAATATCAGTATAAGTTAAAATAAGATGAAATAGATATTAAAAAATTAAATTAAAAAAAATTTGATTTATTAATTATAATTACAGAAAATATAAAAATAAAATATAAAAATTTGTATAAAAAATACAAATTAAACATATTTTAATTCTCAAAAAGGAAAAACACAATTCTAAAAGAAAATTTGTTATATGCATAATAACATAATACATAAAATATAAATATAAATATATAAATATAATACATAAAACATAATAGATTTATATTTATCATATAAGATAATTTATATAATTCAAAAAAGCAATACCTAAAAATATCGAATATGAAATTTTGTACTAGAAATAGTGTTAATATATAATAAGAAATGCTTCTTTATATGTTGTCAATGATATAATAAAGTATTTCAATGTTTGTTATTTCAAAACATGCAATAATGTATCAAAATACATTTAATGCAATAAAATTAAAAATAAATTATGTATATAAATTTAAATTAAAGTATCATGTTTTAATAGTCAGTTTTAAGAAAATAAAATTTCATTTGCAACTATTTATATGTACATGAATAATATTTTGTTAAGAGTCTCAGAATTATTAAGTTAATAAAATAACTACACTAGATAGTTCAATCAATACCGTTTTTGTTGATGCAGAAGGTAAAAAGTAATTCCTCGATGTTGCTTGTTCCGACGGCAACTTACCATCGTACTAATCTACGCTCTCTAATTCGATTCATTTAACGAAGACTTGAATACAAAAGCTTTTATGTCACAATTGTGTACGTGCTCGAAGGAATAAATACATAATCGCTTTTTATCCATATCTATATCTTACGAGATCGACTCTTCCAGAAATTAAACACAATGTGTTAAAACCGATAATGCCATTAATCGTTGCATGAACAAAACAAGAGGAAATCTTTTTTTAATTATTAGTACATAACTACTTTTCTTTCTTTTATCTCCATGCAGATTTTAAGATTTATTAATTAATGAAATAGTTATTCTTAATACTAGAAATATTGTTATTAACTTCTTGAAGCATGAGAAATTCAAATTAAATTCATAAAGTTAATTTTCAAAATTGATTATACGCAATTAAAATAAATGCAGCAACACTGATGTATGAAAGTTCTATTACATTTATTAATTGTCAATTTGAATATCACAGTTTTTATCTTTCAGAAGATATTTTATTTTAACAAAGAATTCAAGCAGTATATTTATTTGTTTATAAATTATTAAATGTATTTTAAGGATATTAAAATATCTGTTAAATATTGTAAATATATACCATATTATAATAAGTATAAAGTATAATACAATATTATCATATTATAAATATTTTAATTTTTCATAATATATACATAAACGTAATATATAAATTTTTTTATTGATTTTACCATTGTTATGTTTAATAATAAACATTGCTAATAGATTATCATATTCAAAATATTATATTCCTATTTAAAGTTTCATATAATTAATTTATTATATGAAATGTTTAATAATATAATAAACAAAAGATATATAAATATTTTCAAGTAATAAATAGTAAATATCCATTAGTTAAATGTGAATAAAATAGATTCAATATAATTATATTAATTTATTGATTTGTAATAATATATTAAAATGGAAAATTCTTATTTAAATAATCCCTTCTCTTATGTAAATAATTTACTTATATTAATATTAATGAAAGTATACTTGTAATTTTTATATTTTTATATTTTTATATTTTTTATAGTCAAACTATTTATTGTATAATTTATACAGATTAATGACTACTTAATAAGTACATTATATATATTACATTATTCGCTATAAAAAATTAAAAATATTAAAGTAATAAAAAATATGGTTAGTTACAATTGAAATTAATAGCAATATTATATTTAATACTAATAATTTATTTAAGTAACAGTTAATAATTATATATTAATTTAAAAAATTATATAAAATATATCAAAGAATTCATGTATAGAAATCTATATATAATATGTATTTAAATTACTCTATTGCAAACTATTATAACAAAACAAATAATGTCATTGAAATTTTATTAGTGTATTATCTTTCTATAATCGTGGAGACAATTCGAATTTATTTCATACAATAAAATATAAACAAAATTAATTTCTTTGAATTCTTAGCTACAATATTTCGTAGTATGTGCAAATTCTGTCACTGTTTTTTTATTGTTATAGCACAATTTTATAAAATACAACCATGTATTGACTTAATATTAAGTTTCTTAAAACAATAATACTCTCTTATTATACGTGGTGGTAAATGCTACACTCCCGAGTAGTACTGTATATGTACATTCTGTTATCTTTTATTTATTGCATAATGACATCATAGTTTATTTAGTACTTTTTTCGCCCGTTAGTGGACAGTAAAAAGGAAGATGGTTAAGTACTAGAAGAAAGTAGAGACCGGATATCCAGTGTCAACTCGTGATGTGACAGAGAGAATAGAGAAGACAAGAAGAATGTGAAAAGTCGAGTCATATGGAAGGTAAAAAATAGGAGCAAAACAGGAACGAAAGAACGATACCAAACTGCTACGATCATCCCCACCCTATTTCACTGACAGCCACGTATTTATTCTCTCTCATTCTCTCTCTCTCTTCCTCTCGTTCGTTCACGCATCTAAAGGGGGGGCTATTGCTTTCGTGTGTCAAACAGCCGTCGTTCGGCACGTGGGTGCAGTTACAGAATTTACTCACGCCGACGGCTTTATAGTGAACAGCCTCATAATATTCAGATTTTTCTTTTTATGTCTAAAATTTAAGTGCGTTTTAATGATATAATTATTTATTTAAGCTTGTCTGAAGCTTGATTCCATTATTACCGAATATTTTAAATCAAGCTAAATTATATTAATCCCGTAATTTCAATAAACTATAGTATTTTTAAGAAAAAATTCTGAATTAAAACAATTTTTTATTAATAAATAAAATGATAAAATATTTGTGAAAAACTATAATGAGGGCTTTTACGTCTTAATATTGCCAATATAATTTGTTTGTAAAATATTATATTTTAAGATATTTAAAATATTTATAAAGAAATTGAATATTATTTTATTAATGTTTTATAAAAATGAAACATTTCTTATTGTAAAATAAAGATTTATTAGTATTTTTAATCTACAGAATTTTTATATAAGTTTTACTTTTTACACGTACTCTACTTGTTTATTCAGCTTTGTCAAATATATTTTTTAATAGCTTCAAAAACGCAATAAATGTTTTAAAATATATCTTTACTGTCAATAAAATTGAAAAATATAAATTACATAAGCCAATAAATAGTAGTGAATGCTAGTAATGTTTTTTTAATTATAAAAAGCTTCAACATTATTTTTCCTTTATTTTTAAATGAATGTATTATATCTAAATAAATAATAGATAAATACTAAATATATAAGCTTTACTAATTAGTACAATTATTTCTTTATTGATTATTTAATATTTAATTATTTAATAATTATTAATTATTTTTTACTGTGTAAGAAAAATATAAACTGTTAAATAGAATTAATATATAAAAACTAAGTACAACTTTTATGCTACTCTTTTTAATTAAAATTTTTAATGAAATATGATTATATATATACAGAAAGTTTAAAATTATTCTTAATTTGATTAATATATGAACTCTGAAAAATAATTAAATAACTTCTAGAATAGTTAGCAATTATATACAAAAGTAAATATAGAACTTAATTAGATGGAAAACATAGAGAATTCAAAATTTTAATCTTAATTATTTTCCCACATAATTAAGGTAATATCTATTTCTAATGAATTTAATTGCTAATTTATTGAAATTTAATAATATAATCTAATCTATTATTAATATATTTATTAAATAAAAATAATTATTTTTAATTAATAAAATACTTACTTCATTTAGAGACTTTGCAATATTGTAGTAGCTATAAGATACCCGCTTAACTTAGCATTCAAATCTCTTGGAATTCTCGTTCTTGACTCGCCACAAAATCAGTAAAATATATTAATTGCATTTAATAAAAATTATTTATTTCGACAGTAAGCAACTACTTAATAAATTATTTTTAAAATCAATCAATTATTATGGAAGTAAATTATATATTAATAATAACTAATAATTAGATTTATTATTGTACAATAAATAAAGCTTTTTTCATAGGCTTATAGCAACTATTTGTAAAGAAAAATTTACACCCTCATAATTTTCACTGTTTATTACACTAATGACTCACGATATAAATATTTGGTAATGCTCACATTTATATTAAACACTTATTGTAGTTACTTAAAATGTTTTAAAAAATCTTGAACTAGTCACAGAAACTCTAAGAAAAGTTGAAAGTTAGATGAAAATATACAAATTAATTCTTTTCCAGACAAATGTTACTGATTTGCTTCGATGTTTTGCAGACTTTTCAAGTAATAATGAATA